ACTAGTATTCCTACCCGTGCCATGCACGGGTTCGGACGCATATCTTGTCGATTCTGAATTTATTCAATGCAATATTTTTTCCGGAATAAAAGAAATATATACCTCATGCATGATTTATAATAACACAGAAAAGAAAGGCAAAGTAAAAAGAATAATATTTGAGGAATTGAATCTACACACAACAAAGTTTGCTTTAATACCAAATTTTTTGTAAGATTTCAGGGTATACAACATTTTTTGTATGGCTGCAAGGATTTCCATTGTCATCTAAGACTAATATTTTTTATTCTGTCTTCGTCTTCATTCGCGAAACAGCAACATAAAGCTGACCATGAGTGAACACTAACTTGGTTAAAAATAATCCAACAAATGATAATGTTTGACCTTGACTTTTGTTAATAGTCATAGCAAAACATAAGACTATTGGAAATTGTCTTCTCTAGAACTTTAGAGGTAGTCCTGAATTACCAGGGTGTGTAAACTTTTTCGCCACTCGATTTTCCGAAACCACTATAGCACCAATAACATTCTTTCACATCTCGTCAACAATTAATCTTGTACCATTACACAATCCAGAACTGCACGGAGTGGAATAATTTTTTTTGTCAATTCTAAAAAAAAATTATTGCAATATATTTGTGGAACAAAAAAATATACTTCTCGCATGATTTTTAATACCATAGAAAAAATCAAAGTGGAATAAATAATATTTGAGTAATTGAATGTACACAACAAAAAAAATTAATACAATTTTTTTAAAGACTTAAGGGTAAACAACATTTTTAGTATGATTGCAATAGTTTTCAATGTCATCTAGAACCAACATTATTCGTATGGTTGCAATAAGAATTACAGAGTATATAATAATAATTATGTAAACTTTAAATAACAAAACATTACTAAATTAATTGAGAAACAATTACCGCCAATATAATTTTTGAAAAATTTCTTTATGCACAACGTTCCAAAGGTGACCTAAAAGATTATTTTCTTCATCGCATGTCAAATTTAATATCCTTCTTAATTTTTAACACGTAGGATAACAATGAAAGTGGCTATAAACTGGCTTTTAAGTAGTAGGCCAACATGTGGTAGAGATTGTCTTTGACTTTCATTAATGGTGCATATCAACTCGTGATGGAAAATTGTGGTTTTGAAATGTTGCCTAACGCGTTCTTTTTTTCCAAAGAAAATGAACAGCACTTCGCAAAGCATTTAAAAAAATAAAAGAAAAAATGGAAGTCAGAGGCTTCTACAGGAGTAAAATAGGACATCATCGAGGGTGCTGTGTAATGTTTGGATGATTGAATGCCTTAGAAATCCTATCATCATCAAGCCCAAGCAGCTCCATATGCAGGTTGTGTCTTTGTATGGAAAGAACA